ACCCCTGCCTCCAAATTGAAAAGATACGAAAATTTCGTCTTCTAATTTGAAATTGCCGCCAACAGCATGAACAGTGGAACTTATTAATAGACTACTGACGTAGATGTAACATGTATTGACGACAAACAATATTCCTACGACTTTTGCCATTTGGGAAATCTAAACTACTTGTCTTTAATGATTTTCGGCGATTAAATATTTTATACAATTGTTCTTTGACATCTTAGCCAAAAGCACAGGGGATAATAAACTACATAAGGATTCCTAATGTGCTCTACTTCCTATGTACAACTTCAAAACTTTTGGGTGGTTCGACGATCATTTAAGGTTTTTTCTGGTCATATTTTTGTAATCCAGAATTAAAAGTATGAAAAAACTATTCAATTAGTTATAAATAACATTATATCCAGCTAGATAATAACAATGGCACGTATTTCAGCATTTATTGGGTAGAACACAAATCTAGGGTGCTCGCATAAGGCAGCTTAACTGCCTAAAAATACAGCACTGTTTAAAGAAGAGATCAGTTGACTAGTGTCTCCCTACCATATAGATGCACTGTTATACCAGTAAATGTATGGTACAGTGATATGGTACAGTCATAATCAAGACAATTACATTTGAGGTCATCCATACATTCTTCAACAATGAAAAAGTGCCAACAAATCCTAAATGGTAAGGTCCAAATCCTCCCATATCTAGAGACTAAATGGTAAGGTCCAAACCCTCCCACATCTAGAGACTAAATGGTAAGGTCTAAATCCTCCCACATTTAGAATAGAGACTAAATGGTAAGGTCTAAATCCTCCCACATCTAGACTAAAAAGTAAGGTCTAAATCCTCCCATATCTAGAGACTAAATGGTAAGGTATAAATCCTGCCATATCTAGAGACTAAATGGTAAGGTCCAAGTTCTCTCACATCTAGAGACTAAATGGTAAGGTCTAAATCCTCCCACATTTAGAAAAGAGACTAAATGGTAAGGTCCAAATTCTCTCACATCTAGAGACTAAATGGTAACGTCTAAATCCTCCCATATCTAGAGACTAAATGGTAAGGTATAAATCCTCCCATATCTAGAGACTAAATGGTAAGGTCCAAATTCTCTCACATCTAGAGACTAAATGGTAAGGTCTAAATCCTCCCATATCTAGAGACTAAATGGTAAGGTCTAAATCTTCCCACATCTAGAGACTAAATGGTAAGGTCTAAATCCTCCCACATCTAAGAGACTAATGTGTAAAGTCTAAATCCTCCCACACCTACAGAAGTTGTCAACTAGTATTTCTGATTTTAACGTTTTGTCTGATAATCAATTGTAAGTGCAGTGAAATTTTGCAGCAGCAAAATGGCAAGTTGATAAAAATTTTGAATCCTTCAAATTATCTTATGATATTTCTTACCATTGCATTCAGATAGATTTTTGACAATCTTATATAATGCCTTTTAAGATATGCCATTGCATAGTATTTTATAGATAAAATATCAGCAAGGGGTGATGTTGGAAGGTTTTAAATTCACAATAAATAAGTATAAAACACATATATCAATCTCTACATGAGGTTAAAATTACAAATGGAAAAAAATAAATAAGATAATACAGGTAATTAATTACGTGAAAAGCAATTACTCTATAATAAGGAGGACTCGTATCTGATATACATTCACATTTATCTTGCAAAATTACTGACCTATCCATATTAAATTTTCTAAATTGACTTGTAAAAATGCATTAAAATAACCATTAGCCTAGAGAACTCATCTATCCTAAAATAAAGCCCAGTAAACGAGTTGTGTCGTGCAATCTGACTAATACAATCTAAATGCAGATTTTATACAAAATACATTAGTTAACTTAATATATGTAACTTAAATCTTTGATATTGTTTCAGAAATACATTAACATGTCAGAGACTAGTTCTCACATTGTTACTTGCATGTACAAATCACATTAACATAAAGTTTTAAATCAACACCCTGATTTCCCAATCTTACTGATTTCAAAGGACTCTATTACTAAAATGAAACTGACCGTGGAAAACATATTAACATTTGATACCTGTAGCCTTGGAATATTGACATACTTTATTATTCACAAACATAAATTACTTTTAACATGATGGACTTATAACATTTGAATACATAGAGTTATCTCCCTTGTATTACATTTTTTACCAATAACTACATATTTCAAATTTATTCTTAATTCAAATTTTAATGCCTCTAGATATTAAAATTTTCCTTAACACATACATCTTTCTGATAATTTTCAAATTTTTAATCTCCCAGTTTTAAAATTTTATACAATATTTTTTAAAATATAACAATAAAACAAAAGAAAAGCAAAAACATTTATTTCTTTGAAGTCATTCACTATTCTATACATATTATATTTCTTACAACAGATCGCATGTTTCAGATTTAAACCTAGTTTAAAACAATATAAGACTATAAATTTTCAACGAATATTGCCTAAAGACTAGAAGTGCAGGAACTCCGTAGTATTTATCTGATTGGACATGTTATCGTTTATATACAATCTCCACTAATTTGTCCACGGAGTTTTAAACACTTGACTAATTTGTCTTACTTGAAAAGGATGATTTACTCCTAAAGTTACTGATTATTCTAATTAGCAGAGCCATTTAATTTTCTCCTTGGTATGATAGACATCTGAATAAAGACAAAAGCATGGATGGGGTCAATGTGGTTGTCGTCCCTTTAAACTTTGGGAACAATATAATATCGGATCACACTTCACATACCTCAGCCCAATGATATACTCCGTAATACTTCTAATTGGAATTTTGTTTTGTTCCGATTCAGCATTACATCTGATTATGAGCAAGTTAAGTCTCTGCTGTGGTCAAGAATTTTTATCTTTTTAATATTTCAAATTCAAAAAGTTCTCATGGTTGGAAAAAATTAAAATTTCTTTGTTTTAACATGATTTATTTCTTCTTAGTCATTTCAAATTTATAATGTTTTTCTTTTTTTCTTTTCTCTATTTGTTTTCAAAAAGAGATATAAAATTAAGTTAGCGTTAAATATGAAAACATCTGATACTGATAGGAAAAACATGCTCTTAGAATTAACCAATATTAAGTTATAAATTTCCTGAATATTACATAATTTGATTTTTGCCAGTTAAACTAAAGCACTACTCGATACCCTCATTACTTCAGCACTGATTGTACCAAAATATATCAAAATGATTAATATATGTTTGTTGTAAAACTGCAGCTGTTAAAAAGTCACTACCATGGAAACATGATACATTTTAAACATCAGGGGGCGATACTAATTAAAGGGAGAATCTCAAAGTTAATTTTTGTGCAGTATTTAAAAATAGATTTCCACTTCTTATTGAAAGCTCTTGTTGTTAAACCCTCAAAACAACGTCCATTAAAAATCAAATATATGGAACTGATTAATTCATTTACTAATTACAGTAAAAAAAACCTTTAATGTGCCCCTTAAGTTATTAGAGCACCTGCAAAGTTTGTAAAGAATTTTGTAACAATTTCTATATACAAACCCAGCAGAAGATTATTAAAATTAAGATATATTAGATGGGGCTTTCCACTTGGCACTTTGAAGTAATCTATCCATCCTAGTCCTATCATACTAATGTGTTCGTCTGCAGCGGGGAGCTATACACGCCAAAAAAATTCTCATTTGTATCTGTCAGAGTCACCTGAACGTTTTTTTTTAGAAAGAAAGCATTTGTAATCATTTTTACATTCTTTTATCATACATTATAGAAATTCTCTTTTTCTTCCATTTATTACAAGGACATAGCTCATTTATATATTTCAAACACCAGCAAGAAGTGTTAATGGGAAAATAGAAGTTCCAGACTCATCCAAAAACAATCCTATCTCATTTTTCTTATTTATCACTAACAAATGTTTTGAAAACATTAGGGGTGCTGTATGGGAAACTTTTACTGCAGATTTTTATTTTCTTCATCGAAAAAAAAAATTGAGGTTGTTTTCTTGCTCTCCATTAGGTTAAGTGTGTTATGATGCCAAGTTTCTACGTAATTTAAAAATGTGGGATATCATAGTTAATCCAGTCTAACCCCTTTATCTCTTAATGACATTGATACCGCTTAAAAAGGGGGTTTATTTCTCCTAAATTTTATCAAGAATCATTTAACACTATGGTCAATGTCTCATAAAGAACTCTAAAACCTAAAACTAAATTCCTCTTTTTGCTACCATAAGCTATCAGTTTAAAACATATTGCTTACATATACATGTCATGGTAAATGGAGAATACTGTTCAGTCGAAAATTGATACAAGGAGTGTAGAAATGACATTAGCCTACTTTACACCCATATATCTTTCAAATATTTCAACCTCATATTGAAAAATTTATTATCATGATATTTGAAAATTTCCAACAGATGTTTGAGTTTTTGAAGTAATTTGAATGAACTATGCAAAATCTTTCAATCCTTTATGGGTTGATTTAAAATACATATATAAGTAAGCAATGAATGTGGTTGTTAAATTTGATAGATGCTTTCTGTGCTTCTTTGTTAAATGTTTGTTTGCTTTGAGATTGTGACACAGTGATGACTGCTGTACCCATATTTTGACAATGTTACCTAATACGTCTTTTTTGTTCACACATAGTTGTAAATATAACGGAATTTGATGCGACTGTCATAAAAGTGAGAGGTTTAGCGCTATAAAACCAGGTTCAATCCACCATTTTCTACATTTGAAAATGCCTGTACCAAGTCAGGAATATGACAGTTGTTGTCCATTCGTTTGATGTGTTTTATCATTTGATTTTGCCATTTGATTAGGGACTTTCCGTTTTGAATTTTCCTCAGAATTCAGTATTTTTGTGATTTTACTTTTTATGCAGAGAGGCAAAAAAATTTAAAAAGGGAATAAGCAGTCTTGTGAAAAATATCTATCTCCCTCTAAAATCATGTATCTAACTTAGCGAATTCAAGGGAGATAACCCATTGATTTTGACTTACCAGATGAAGTTGATATAATTGTTCCATTCAGTTCAAACAAAATATGTGCTTCAGGACTGCTGATAGGAGGTTGGCATGGCAATACTATACTATAACCTATAGTTCCATTCAATCGCAAATCTTCTCGACTTTGGAATCTTTTTAATACTAAAATTAAAAATGATGAAATTAGGAGAAAATTAAGTATTCAAGTTTTTTTTTTTTCGATCATTTTTTCCCCCTTCATAAATAGCATGAGGATTGAATATGTACAAAAACGTTGAGTGATAAGATATTTTCTACTGAAAAACCACCCGTAAGGTAGCCAAGGTTTAACACTTCAGCTTTCTAGACTTATTCCACTTGTCGGTAAGAACCTTGCTAAGTGGGGTCCATCTAGTTACATGGAAAAATTTAAATTAAGGTTTGATTGGTAAAATTGAAGCAAGGCATTTGTTGAGAGAATGCCACTGTCTCTGTATGTTAAAGTACCTATAACTAATATATATTTAACTTGTTTACATCCTGAACAGGTATGAAATATTTGCCACTGGTCCTTTGCATCATTTTGTTATGTATCACATGCATTGACCATAATTTTCATGATTTTATTCATCTTATCTGGTGACACTGTAAGGTACTTGAAGAGGAGGTCATATGTTTACATAAATACCTGTTTTAGAAAGTCTGGCTGGCCGACTAGCCACGAGTCCGACAGATGTCTCTGCTATACACTGATATATCCCTTCGTTACTGTCCTGCTTCCGCTTATGTTTAAAATTTGCTATATGTAGATTTGTTCCATCAATGCTAAACCCCCTTGATCCCCCCTCTTTCACAAAGTCTCCATTGAATTTCCACCGTACTACAGCACTAGAAGGCAACACCTTGCATGGTAACGTCACTGATGCATGATGGGATATTACAGCTGATTCTGGTTCTTCTAAGAAGATAGGCAAAGAATCTGAAATAAAAAAGTCTTTTTATCAATCTGAAGCAATATCAATATTTTTATACATTGTACTAATAATCAAATATCAAGTGTATTTTTTTTAATTCTATATTAATATCCTTGTTTTTTTTGGCTATTTAGGAATGTTGAGTCATCAGATATGCAATGGTTGCTGTTGAATTCCTAACAAATTGCCTAATTTCTAGGCAATTTAGAGCTTGCCGCATGAGGTACTAGCCACTAAAGATGCTTGACTCGTTCATTGCTTAAAGAACTTGTTAAGTTAAAGTTGTTATATGCTGTTCTTAATATTTTTCCATTTCTTAAATTTATTCATTAATACCTATTTTAAAATTAAGTTAGCATGCAACATCTTAACCTATTACATGAGTAATCATAAATATGAAATTATACACCATCATGAGACTTTCAATATCTGCCTGTCTGGACAGTGAAAAATCTTGGTCTTTTTAGCACGATATAAATCTATATTAATTTAAAGGTCAAATTTCTGGATACTCTTGATCCTATTGTGTTTTGAAGATAAAATTTCAACCAGTCAAAACCAAGAACAGGAAACCAGAACAATACAAAAAAAATATTGGAGGCTTTTTTCTCTTTTGAAGCAGACGACACAATGGAGATTTTCTAACAATGGTATTTTTTCTAATAGAAAAATAATCAGAGTGTGGAAATTTACATTTAAACTCTATAAATATTTTATTCAGATTAGACATGAATATTTTAAACATCAATCTTGTATCAATGTTTCACACAGATATGTGTGGACTCTTCAGTTTACGTTGACAATTGTTATATTGTGCTCATAATCCAAATTCACAGAATAGACATTGTTATAGTCACTCCAGGTTTCCATAAAAATTATCAACAACTAGAAGCATGCTTCAAGAGGACTGTAATCAAATATAGATTACAAACTTAAATTCTGATTGAAAGTTATAGTTTGCATTGCAACTTTTATAATAATTATAGGATATATTGAGGAAGCAACCAAACAAAACATTCTTTCTTCAAAAAAATAGACTAATACTGGTCACCATTACTGCCCTTACCGAAACACAAGCTCCAAAACCATATGACAATATCTTATTTATCCCTAGTGGAGAAGGCTGTGACTCTTTTCCAGTAATTTGTTTTCTTTTGATTCTTAAATGAAGATATTCTAATGGATTCCAAGAAATTACAATAAGCCCTCACCATTTTATTATAGTATACTGAAGATTCATAATTATTCACAGGATAATTTTCTAGATTTCTTGGTATAAACTGAACAACAAATTTAAGTGTTCAACAAAATAAATTTTTTAAATAGGTTTGTTTAATAATAATGTCATGTATGTATGTATACAGAATTTGTCAAAACCATGAAATTTAGTATCAACAAAAATACAATTTTTCATCAATCCACTTGCTTAAATAAAGGCTCCCTCCTGTTCTTAAAGGAACAGTCAACTCCACCCATGATTATCATTAGGTACAGACTATTTTAAGGTGTTAGCTCATTGGATATTATCTAAAGTCATTTACTAAACATCTAACTTCTTTCCTCATTAGTTTTATCATGTTCAAAAGAAAATAAATTATCTTCTCCTGCTTCTACAACTTAGTGAAATATCAGACGATTGTAGAACTATGGAAAATAATGGTTTAACAGCCTCGCACACTTGAAAAACGCTTTATGGATTCACATTTAGATATAAAAACATATTTGTTGTAAGAGTTAGATAAATGTTAGAGATATCTGCACTCTGTAAATGAGGAGGCAAAGAAGAAAGATTTGTTTCCTCAACCATTATTATATAGTATCACATCTGTCTAATATGCCTAATGGCCATGTAGTGCCAAGTACAAAGAATGTAATACAGCACTCTACAATCATTTTATAAACATATTAACTTAATGTGTATTACTTATGTCTTTTTCAAAAACATTTTTGTCATTTTCTTTTGCCTATCTACCATCTGTAGTAGATTTAAAACATATTTACTCTAATCTATCAAGTTTGCTCAATTTTCAAATAAGCAATTACTCTGCAACTACTAACTGCTTTCCTGAGCATGTGCAGAATGCAAAAAATTCTTTCTGAAATCTTGAAAAATAACAAATTATATTAGAAAATGTTGATATCTATTTACCCTTACAGGTCACACTGGAATTATATTCAATTTCAATGAAAACTTAAAAGAAACATTTCACAGGAAACAGGCTTATATAATGATTAAAAGTCTTCTCCTTTTTGTTTCAGCATCTTGTATTATAACTGGTTCTGCCTGTAAGCCAACCAAGTAAACTGGACTTTTTACTGTGGGAAATCAAACAAATCAATAAAAATGTTCATATTTAAATGCAGCAGATTGATTTTTCAAGTAAATATATGATGAAACTAGATGTGCCGGGACGTCACAAATGCCCCTACATGCTGTCAACTAATAGTGTAATTCTGCAAAAAGTATAGGTGATACAAATGAAACACAATCTTGATCTGTAACTGAGTGGCAAAGACAAAACATTAGTGGAACTATTTCAATGAAAACCAATAAAGTCCAAACGAAAAGACATGGCAAGCATTCCATTTTAATGTATTTTTCCTTTAGCATGTGTACTGTATTTTGAATGTGTCATTTGAGGCCTGGTGTACAGTGTACAATTACAGTACACCAAAGCAATGATGTAGGTATTACATTATTACAGCTCTTTAAGTGCCTGACATCTCAAATCACAGCCAAGATATTTCTTAAACAATATCCATAAAATGTTAAAGTTATAGTTTTATGACGTCTTTCTGAAGAGTAATGCAGGGTATCACTAGTGTGGTCTGATTTAACTTTATAGCTTCTCTTCTCACTATGATAACAATAACTTGTCTATATTAACACTCATAAAACTACTATCAAATACCCCATAAAAACACACAGTTAGATACATATACCCTGTTTGACAAACAAATGTTAAACCATCAAGGTCAAGGTTAAATGATGCAGAAGATAATACATGATTTTTGTAACTTTTATGACGGGAATAAGAATTAATATTATGACTATTTGAATCATACACCATATCAATAGAAGATATAAAATTCACAAGACCCGTGAAATTTTAAATACAGATATTTTGTTGATGTTAGATATGTAAAACATGCCGTTTCCTTTTTTACAGTCTAGAGGTGTATGGTTGATTTCAAGTTTTCATTGATAAAACATTATAGAATGCAGAAATGATAAAGATAGTAGCTAATTCATTACCATATCCCAACGATCTGTTGAAAGTTTGTATAAAGTAGAAATAAAAACAACTTAAAATTTATTGCTTTAGAAAAGCTTCACATTTTTTCTTTTACTGTTTTGATATGAATAAAAGGATATTTGGGGTATTCATGAGATAGGAACCCAATAAACAATAAGACCAAATAGAAATTTGCTTGAACTTTTTACACTAAACATGATACATGTATAGTCCAAATTAAACTGACACCAAATTACCACAATAACTTCAAATATGGAATACATTATTTCATTCCACTGACGCCTGTGACATACAAATGTTCTATCAAACACATGCTACATGTAATAAGTCCTTGTCATGATCTAAGATGTAGCAATATTTTAACACAATAAGCAGGTCCGTAGCCAGAATGTCTCGGAGGAAGTTTTCTGGGGTTATGATGCACTGCCTTAATAGTCAAACTTCAATCTTTATCTTAGCTATATGATTCTTTAATAGTATCTTTTGTTTTCATAGGAGGGGGTGTGAACCCCTGACCCCTGGCTTTTGGTGTGATTAGACAATATGTCAACCTTTATCATAAAGTTCTGTTCTCTGCACAACCTGATACCTTAACTCCCAATGGTAGCCATTTTATCCTGATGTTGTATTAATTTATGAGCACCATTTCTAAATATGAGATCAAAGTCATCAATTCTAAAGATTAATGAGGAAAATATCAAAATTAAAGTGAAAATCTAGTTTGGACTTCAGCTATATCCTGAAGGTTAATGTCCCTGCTTTGCATTAAATAACCATTTAACAAGATCAGGATCTGAACATTTCTATAGGTGTGGATAGAATGTTATGCAAATGGACCCATAAGGTATTGTACATAGTGTTTGGCTGAATGCATCCAGAAATTTTACTTAAAAACATAAATCATGAAATAATAGGGGATTTGAATTAAAGGAGGTGTGTTTTGGAAATGTTTATAAATGTTCCTTATACATGAGTTTTGTGTCCTACGAGATGATTTTGTACTGGGTTATACTGCCTGGTAATAGACAAAAGCAAGTCAAGTGTACACAGGTAGAATGATTGATCTTCTGCTGAGGAATTCTTGTTCACTTCAATGTTTTGTTTTATGGATGTTTGACCATGGATGACCAGGTTCATTTTTCATACTGAACTTAGAATTCAAACATAAATTTTCTGATTTAAATGTCATTTAACATCTTGTGCTGGTTGATTCAGCAACTTTTTTTCAGGTCAAGTACTGTACAATGAAATGATACAATAGTGTTACAAAGGAATTTAGTATTGACATTTGAACTTTGTGGACTATATTTACAGTAGAATTTGAAAATGTTTTAAAAAATATACATAGACTGAAAATCAATTATTTATACATGTAGTATTTGATATCTATTTTTGCAGAAACTTTTTTTTTTCACAATTAGACCTCACTAGCTGACTTCTCTTGTTGATTTATTTTCTTTGCTATTTCACAATGGTGAGATTTCCTTTAGAGCCCCCCTGCATGTATTCCTTCATCCAAGGATGTTAGAAAGGAAGTCTTTCCTTTACAACTTTGTTGATGTTATATAACTTCAGGTCCAAGTTTTGACAGATTCATAACGATAAGTTGGTTTACGGAAAGTCAAAAACAAAAGTGATTCCTTAACTTTCAATGTATCATCCATTTGGTATTATTTCCACTGCCAATTTTTAAATTAGAACAAAATCAAAGAATGTATCGAAAGTTTAATCCTGTAGTAAAAATAGGCCATTGTTGATTATTGTTGTCATTGTGTTTCAGAATTTTGAGTTGGTAATTAGATCAGTCAGATCTACACTGTTAACATCATAATGTTGGCAGTATGGACATGTGAGTATGCTGTAATGTGTAATGTCTAAGACATACCATTCACAGTTTGTACAATGTGTTTTGCCTGCATCGTAGATCTACATTTTTGCCATATTTTTTTCACAGAAAAAAAAGTTCTCATTTTCCGGAGCTTTGGCAACTGGCAGTTTGATTAAAATTAAAGGTTTTGACAATATAGTATGCTTTGTTTTATAAAGACTTTGTACCACATGATTGTTTTATAAACATGATAAAGTGGACACTGGTTGATGATACTCTTGAAAACAAAATATATTTTTCTTCTGACCAAATATCTGCATTTCTAAAGGGAAACTGGAATAAATTTTTTTCAAATATTGCAATTTGGCTAATAAATCATTTACCGTCAAAGTCACCACAAATGACATAACATTTCTTTTTTTTACAATATATGCATTAATTTCAGTAAATTTGTCATTTATACCTGCTAAACTTATCAGAAGTGTATTAAGGACAAAAAACTAATCAATCAATTATATTGCACATTTTAAACTTTATTACAAAACAGCTCCATATTAACTAGCTTTCTGCAGTAAATCATGACTTTTATGTGATTGGTCAGTCTATAAATATAAAAAATGTCAGAGATCATAAGATATCAATTGTTTTTATTAATGTTTTCTGTCACCATATATGAGAAAAAACAACCATAATTCATGTCTAGTATGATTTAAGGCCATCAAATTTACAAGGAGTAATTAGAAAGAGTTTTGTATTCAAACCTGTAACCAACCAATTAAAACATTACCATATTAATGTTTGTTGAAGGAAGACATTATGACTAATTTTACATTTTCTAGATTACAAAAATATGATAATGTTCCATATTTTGTGAATAAATCTTCCTTCATGTCAAAGATTTCCCACATCCTCAAATGGGTCCATGTAAAGCTAAATGTCTTGTCAAAGATTTCCCACAACCTCAAATGGGTCCATGTAAAGCTAAGTGTCTTGTCAAAGATTTCCCACATCCTCAAATGGGTGCATTCAAAGCTAAATGTCTTCTCAAAGATTTCCCACATCCTCAAATGGGTCCATGTAATGCTAAGTGTCTTGTGAAAGATTTCCCACATACTCAAATGGGTCCATGTAAAGCTAAATGTCTTGTCCAAGATTTCCCACATACTCAAATGGGTCCATGTAAAGCTAAATGTCTTGTCAATGATTTCCTACATCCTAAAATGAGTCCACATATAGCTAAATGTCTTGTCTGTAATTTTTTGGTTTTATAGAACCCCCTGTATCTTCTCTAATTTTTCTAAAAGGATATCTTAACTTCAAACATGCAAATATCAAAATATCAAATATTTCATTAGAAAGTAAGGAACAATAAAAGAATTTGGTCCAATGAATTTTCCTCAAAATGTGACAGCAAAACTACAAATCCAATTTCATGTTTATTATCTGCAGTCCCCTTAGAGATTTATGAGATAATTCTTGAAAGCGAATGACCAACAACAGATAGATTTTTATATGAGGTAATTTGAGATTGAGTTATTTCCCTTGGCCACCATGCTGGAGGTGTAAATGGTTTCTGATTCGAAAAAACCAAATTGAAACAGGGTACAATCGAGTTTGAGAAGATGTCCTTATTAGACGTTTGTGATGAATTATGCAAGGCTCAAAGAAATTAAAATTGTCCGTTCATTTTTTGAAGTCTAGCAGTCAGTATAAAAAGATGTGTTTGTTGATTCAACTGGGTATAATATATGGGATCTTGTACCACTCTGGTTTGATATAAAATGTCAAATAAATAGTTACCTATTGATCATCCCCCTCCTCCCCCTTTTTTTCATTTCTAAACCAAGCGTAACACTAACAGTCATTAGTTTCATTACTGAATAAAATTCTCATAAATAACTCTCCATATCTACATTTTTCATCAGTTGTCCAAACTGAAAAGGCATGCTTTAAATTACTACCTATTTATATTCCTTTCTACTAAATTAACACACTTCAAACATTTCTTTTAGGAACGTTTTCAATACATGAAAAAATACAATGCATGTTTCTGTGTTCAGACCATATGACATCAAACTGACATATACTGTAGATGTATTAGAAAAAATTTTGTTGGTAATATTTTTAATTAATAATGAATCAATACATATGTTTACCAGTTTGTAGGAATATTATGCTAAACTGTAGTTTAGTATGATTGATTGATTGATTGTTGGCTGCTTAACATCCAGTGGCAAATATTTGATGTATGTTCAGGACATGAATTACAGGAGATAGGGGTGATACATTTGACACAACCAAAGCTTTCAAAGAGTTTTAAGAAGCCAAACTGCAAGTAAATTGTTATATTTTTACTTCCAAGTTCTAGTTGAGTTGTTTGTAAAAAAATTCTGACTATTGCTAATTCTTGCTTCCATTTTGATACCGTTTTTTGTCCTTTGATTCACAATTTTAATTGCCCTCTATGTATTTAATCCCTTTTTTTGAATTAATGTCTCTACTATTTGTCATGGAAAACTGCATTCCTGTCTCAGATCTTGTTATTACATTGATAAATTACCCATTTCTGTGAAATCAACAATCCACACCACATTAACCACCATTTCTAAATTTCTAAATAATATGATTTTAACTGATGATAAAATTTCTTAAACCTTCAAAGATTTAATTCAGAAGACTGGTTCTATTTTTATACCATGCCAGTAAACCTCTATGAAAAAAAAAAACGCATTAAGATTTCCTTTAATAACCCAGTGTAACTAGACACCAATCAGATAGTACTAATATATAGCCAATATTACCATACATAAATCATATAGTTTTTACAGGCAAAATGAATTTTTACTTTAATGGTTTAACTGAAAACTGATCAAAGGTTTTCTGTAATTCTAGATGTCCTTATTGATTTATTTATATGTTTTTCAGGGGCTATCAGGGAGGAAATATGGTAAATCCTTCACATTGTTCTGAAATCCTAAAATAAATAAATGTTCAGAGTGTTACTGGGTTGCAGACTCATTGACAATATACCATAAGTAACTGTTCATTGGTATGTAAATGGATGATGTACATTACTGCACACATATTTTTCAAATTCCTCTTCAGGGACTGTTTACTTAACTCCCCATCGCTCCCTGCATGTGACAAGAATGAACCTGGGTGAACTTAATTCTAATTTTTTTCTAACAATTTAAGGAAATGTTTAAAAGATTGAAGGTCAGGAACACAGTATCTATGTACTGCTTGGTACGTGTACAGACTGTTGTAAAGAAAAAGACTAATTGTTCTATCAATGCCACAATAGTGTTTCTGGACTGTAATTTGTGCAGTCTCTTATTTTAATAGTTTATTAAGACTACTGCTATGAAGAGTGTTTGTGTAGTGTCAATATTTTTTTGATCTTTCAATTGGAAATAACTCCATTGCATAAAATTGACAAATATTTAAAAACTTTACAAAAAGAGAGACAACTCTTGCCAACTCAAGAAATGGGAGACAACTGTTGGAACAGGTGTATTAGGTCAAATCATGGTACGAGTATTTTGTACTAATTATTTTCAAAACCTTTGTCAAAAATTTATATAAATTTAATGCATCAACTATGATTATGTCTGTAGCAAAGAAAGCTTATGCAAACAGTGTCCTTCTGATCCTGTGAAATGTAACTTTTTCAATAGAATTTTTTTTAGTTGCTGCCTGATATTTCAACAAATCAGTATTTGCATCCAATCTAGTAATATATATCAATAAAAAATCTTAAAATTACCAACAGTAAAATTAGTGTTCAATCTTCTGTTCCGTGTATAATTATAATATCTACCTTCAGAAGTTGTGGCTTTCACCATGACAACCAGGATCCATAGCAACAGACCCTCTACCAGCATCCTGTCGATGCCAGGCCTCTTCATACTCTGTCATAAAGACACATAGACAAATAGAATCCACTCATTGAATCACCCGTTTATAATCCACAGAACAATCCTGAAATATAAAAAAAAATCAGTAATTTAACCCTTATTTGTTGGAAGAAAGTAAACCATTCTTAGCATTGATAAAGTCATCACATTAAAATAAACAAGATTGTTTACAAATGTGCCTTTGAAATAACAGGAACAAAATTATTCAAAACTTTGACAGTGTTATTCAACATTACATTTCTGATGAAATTATTCAACATACTGACAGTATATTCTTTTTGACAGAATTATCAAACTTTCTGCCAATTTTTGTTTTTTTTACAGTAAACTCAACATACTGACAGAATTTTCATAACAATAACTAATAACCTTAGGTTTTATACTGTGTAATTCTAATAATGCATGATTTCTAATCCCTATGTAAGTCAACCATAAGTAAGTAATGTTTTGGTATTACAGGTTCCCTGTTTTTGTTTACAGACATAAAACTCCCTTAAAAAACCAGTAAAATTAGTCTATTTATAAAAAGTCTGCTAGCATTCCATAACCCTAGATAACAGACCATAAAATCAGCAACAGAAGTGAAGTTGTATACTGGTAGCAAAGTCATAAATCTATGAATGTAAGTAAATCTAAACAACTTTTACGACCTTTTTCAAACAGAACTTGATAACAGTCTACACTTCTGAAATACATTCAACCATCAAAATTGGCAACTTTTTACAAAGATGCACTTTTTTGTCTGCAAAAACTATGTCATTACTTTCTGATAATTTGTTATGTATTAACGAGACACCTTTAAGAACAACAAACATTTTATATGTAAAAGATGGCATGGGATTTTTGTTTAAAAACTAATCAACCCAAATTTTGGTAAAATACATTGTTTGGTCATCCTTTAGAAATTGTTTGTGTCTACATGAATCCATTAATTGTTATTTTTTTATCTAAATAAATAGACTAACATTAATGTTGAAAAATTAGTTATAATATTCATACTTTTTCTCATACACCATAAAGCAACAGTTTGAGGATAAATACTGTCAATTCAGAAAAATTTGCATGCATTTATGTTGTGAAGTGGACTTAAAAGCAAGATTAATCGATAATTAATAAATAATAATATTAAAATTTAAAATGCAAGCCATAAATTTAAAAAATCTACCCTGTTGCAATTTTCATGATAAAAACATAGCTAAAATTTCTGAATTTACGGAAAGTAGTCAGTGTTAAAGGAATCAGAAAAGATTTCTAAATTCTTTTTTGCTTTCCTCATAAATTTACAGGAATTAAGCAATGTATATAAAATGTATAACGGAAATGGGAAACTTTATCAGAGAGCTTTGATTTATAATATAAAATTGTTAGTAACATCCGTCCATTATAATTCTCTAAAATCATGAAACCTTTTCTATTTGGAAAATTTAAAAAATACAAGCAGTTTGTATTGGCCGATAACCATGTTGAATGTCCCCGGTAAGGTCATGGAAAAGAAAGTTAGTTTAAGCCAACTCTATCCTGTTTTTTGTAACCAAAATGATGATTTACACATCCTTCTTAAGCTGAAACAGGTTTTCTGTTTGTTTCAAACGTTTGCAAAATTGGACAAAAATGGTTTGTGTGTCTTCTGCTTTGACGAACTCCAATACAGGTGTGCAAACATTGGTTAAAATTCAAAAATAAATAGTTTAATAAATGCACCAATTGAAAATTCAAATGCACCTTCCGTCTGCTTGTCAATAATAGCAACAATGTTTAAGTCATTATGAACAAAACTTTTGTGCACTAAGAGATTTGTTGAATTTGCACATAGTAAAACAAATCAAGCCGAACAAAATTTATTTTTCCAACTTTATATTTGTGAAAAAAATTGCCCTAATCAAAATGAAATGACAACTTGATTGTCAATCTTGTTTTAGTCCATTGATGTTCTATTTATTGCCCTGATGACCATTCAAAATGCAAGATTTATTAATGCGATCAATAACAGTGTAATAAAATAATGTTAACATACAGAAAAAGAAACTTTTTATTAATGCGATGAATTTCGTGTAATATTTTTGGCAATAATTGTAACATCACATGACAGTAATCTCCATCATAGTTAGGGTGTACAAAATGACCATACCTCAATACAAGAATGTTAATCCAAACTCCCGCTGTTCCAAACTTTCTAAGTATTATCATGGATTATTATATACACCCCCTATTGACCATTGTGATATAATCTCAGCCTAATGATTGGTCATTTCATTGATAATCAATGACCACTTATCATTTGAAGATTGGCCAACTTAAACAGGTGAATCGTTTTATCTTTTAGAAGAATGTATACAATCTATCAACAAAGTTAGTGGGGGAACTTTCTGCTTACGGATACTCTTGTCAAGCAAACAATTACAGAAAGTTCCTCCAGGGTACAGCTGAATAACCTACCAAGCTGATTCCATCTGTCAACACAACAAAATACACAACTTTCTGGCCATCTCTTATCAATTATTTCTCATATGGTGGACTCATTATTATTTGTTGGAAATCGATTTTTCATGGATTTTGTGGGTTTAACTCAAATCTAAATGTCAACGAATTTCAAATTTTCACAACATTTTCAAAATTAAAATAGAGTATACATGTAAGGACTGTCAATGTGGTCTGGACCAATCTAAACATCCAAAACGGATCCTTCCTACAATGAAACACCATTTCTGAAGAAGTCCATGATCTGAGTCTGGACTCAGGAAATGTATAATTAATTACACATTTCATAAAAGCCATAGCTCAATTACTAAAACGAGTAACAAATGTATAATGTCTGATGGGCAATTTTTTTTAACCATACTTGGTATGCGTTTATGTGATGGGGTATAATTATTGATCCTGTTTGTTATAAACCAACATGTTGAGCAGGATTTGTAAATTAATTAGCTCATAATGTAAGAAGTCATACAAACCATTGAGGTAATTGAGAAAAAAAATATTCTCTGAAATCATAAGTTATACATCACCAAAATTTTTCATTCAAAATTTAGCCAAAATTCACCAGCTTCGAGTCATTTGCTTAAATTTTCTCCAGGATTATAAGTAGATTTTGATTCAGCAAAACAAATTTGGCACCACTTAATGAAAGGATTCCTTTAATGACTGGATAGTCCCTATACAATAAAATCTCCTGATAAACTTGTTTGACTTTATGTGATGGTATTTGAAGATGATGGATTGGTCAGTTATTTGGTCAGTTAAATTGCCACCTGTGGTCATTTGTATCATAAAGCTGCTAAGTGACCGATTGATTCTATAATCAGACCAGATTACCACTGATTGTAAACATGATAAAGCAGGAACTAGGTGACATTCAACTGACCTTGGACACTTTATCATCTTCTATTTTTATAATAGAAATACAAAAGTATGCCGATTCTTTGAGAAAAAGATTTTTTTTTAACGTACAAATACCACGTTTGATTACTGCTGGTTCATTTATCTTTCGTGGGTACCAACATTCGTGGTTTCAGGAAAAGTAGTGTTTCATGGATTTGCCAAAGTCTGCATACTAGCCAATAGACAATTCATACTTTGTTGAATAGTTAAATTCTTTGTTTATCTATAAAATTAGTACCCTACGAATAATAATGAATTAATGTTACCTCTCTGATTGAAAACCGTCTCCTTTGCTTTGTAAATGAACATTAAGGCATCAAATAAATTCAACAACTTCATTGGTGAACACTTAACATGCTTAATGTCCAAAAATAACAAGACCCTTCTATGACACTGCATTTCATATATCAAAAGGCCAATTTCAAATTCAGTTCACAATTCATGTAAACAGAAAGAGACATATTATGAACATTTCAAATTCATTTGGTCTCGGCGAAAGTACCAAGATATTGTTAAACAGATAGTCACTTCATTTGATGTGGTATTATACAAAATACTGTGCTACAAATGACGCCAATATTAATTATATTTTACACAGATTTGTCTAATTAACAAAAACTATCACCTCTCTAGACATATATTACAGGAATAATTATCCTTCATTTTGACAAATTTATACAAAACATCAAGGTATTTGGTTTGAATAGCCCACAGCTACTTAATCTTAACTGAGGAATATAAAGATTGATTGTTTTTCACACATGAAATGACAATATTAAGATATTCATTGAAAGATGTTTATGACAAATGATATGTATATCACCAATAAAAGTATATTACATTTTGTTGACCCTAACCCATGTTACAATATTTTCTTCATAAATCAGAATACTGCTAATTATAGAAGAAGAAGAAGAAGAAGAAGAAGAAGAAGAAGAAGTATTTTTACAAATATAATAAACAATACAGTATACATAGTTACAAACACAAATAAGAAACAAGAGTTTTCACATATTCGTATATATATAGGAGTATATATAAAACCTTCGTCTCAGGTAATTATATATATTGAAAAAAAAGAACAGTGCAGTAAAAAAATCAAGACTTATGGAAAAATGGTTTGACTATTTCACACTTAATTCTATAAAATATCAAACACAGATTTATACCAGCTGTAGGACAATATATTCAATATTTAGGATGTATGCTATTTCAGTTTCTTTAATTCTTAGCCGATTTATCATTTTCCTGACCTGGTGAATATTTTTATTTAATCAACGTTCATTTGATATCAGTTCTTCATTGGTCAAAATTCAATTATGTCGTCATATTTTCTATTGAGACGTCACAAAAAAAGGCGACCATTTCTTATGAGGTTACGTAGAAAAATACCTCTTTTTGCAGATCAATGAAAAAGAAGGATTATTTTTGTCTGCATATCATTTTAATTCATTAGAAAAACAGATTCTACCTCCAAATCTCTCCACTCTCGACAGTTAAATTTCAAATATTAAAAATACTCAGCAAGCCTCGCATTTTCAATTTGAAAATTGAACTGTCTAAAAGCACACTCAATGCAGTGGTAAGAATCTATATATACAAGTAATTTGACAAGATAAACATTGATGAGGCAATTGTGAAAGTAATCTTTCCATGTATATTAACCTCCTCATTGAAAGGTCATTT